AGAGAGAGAGAGAGAGAGAGAGAGAGAGAGAGAGAGAGAGAGAGAGAGAGAGAGAGAGAGAGAGAGAATAAATAAAAAATATATAATTCAATACAAAACTTACGGTCTTTGAAAAATTGTGTTTCAAAAACACAGTCTTTAACCAAAAATTCATGCGATTTGACAGTAAAACCAATAGTAGTGAAGAGATTGTGCCAAATGTCAAACTGTGTCTCTCGTGTCGGTGTCTTCAGGAAGCGGTTCTCGTGGATCAGCTTCTCTTCGGGCGACAGATCCGCATAAAGGTCTGAAACCCAGTATATGTTGGCATAGAGTTGGCTACCGGTGCGCAACAAACGGTACAAATTGTTGACCACATTTCGCTTATTGATAATCCAATGGAGACAATGGTTGGTAAATATGAGGTCCACTTTGCCCTCCAGTGCTCGCAGTGTCGGCGACAATAGATCCCATTCAAGGCCAAAGTCTTGGGCCAAATACTGGACGTTAGGTTTGCCGTGATTTTTGCCGGCAAACGCTATCATCTCTTTGTCCACATCTATGGCATAGATTTGTTTGGCGTTCAATACGTCGGCCAATGTTCTGGTGATATTCCCGGATCCGCACCCGATGTCCAACACTATATCGTATTGTCTTTAGTAACAAAAACATTTATATATAATAATTAATACATTTTTACAAAAACAAAATATCTATACAAAATTACATTAAAGATAATAACAAGTAATTGTTATATGAAAATAATTTACTAGAGCATATACATAGTTATAAAAAAACATAGTTAATTTAATTTTTTAAAAAGTATTATGATAAAAATATAAATAATAATACTTGTGTCCATTTTCGGCAATTATTTTGGTCATCAAATCCTTCGCGTCTCTGATTTGCAATTTATTTGATTCGTTATATTTCTCTGCATTGAAATCCATTATGTTTTGCATATGTATTACGTGACCACTTGTTTACAGCCAACTATAATAACTACAAATATTATCTTGTTGTAATTTTAAAAAAAGTATTGCCACATGCTTTCTACAAACATCAAAGATTAGTTATAAATTAATTATAACTTATAATAACATTTTTATTAAGGAAAATCACGATAGAAAGTCTTATAAAAGGGTTTATTTAAATTAGATAATAATTTGTGGTGTTATGTGCACGTACCGGCCCTGAAATCGGCACAAACCAATCGCTATAATCGATGTTCACAAAAATTGATATATTATTAATACTAAATATTACACAAAATCATCAAAAATATTATAACATTTATGTGATAAGTAAAGCATTTGCGACAAAATGTCTCAAAAATTTTATCAAAAAGTTTGCAAAACTATTTTTCAGTTCAAAAACTGTTTCCAAACTAAAACCCAAAACTTATTTTTCCAATTAATGCCAAAAACTGAAAATATTTTTCTCAAATAAGTGTAAATATAAAGTGAAGGAAAATATTGGGTTCAATAAACTTGTGCTGAAATTGGGTTTATTTTGCATTGAATTAAGTGCTAACTTATATTTAATTAATTTTCATCGAATCATGTTTACTGATCGCAAATATCCTCAGACTTTAAACACTTATTACAAAATACATTGAATTTACATTATATAAACACATTGATTCATTGCATGTTTATTTCATATAAAGTATCATACATGTACTGTAAATCGTACCATGTTCGCGTGTTAACTAAAATGACCAATTGCCCTGGATAGAAATATTTTTATGTAGCAATTTTAATAATTAATTATAATTTAACTTTTTTAATAATATATTTATTGAACAAATGATAAGATTTATAATATTTACATAAATTTAATGATAAATTAAACAAATATTTAATGTTTTTGTTTCAATGATTTGCGAGAAAACAATGATAATTATTATAAAACATCTTTATATATATAGACATTAAAGTATTTAATTAGATGTAAAAATTAGTTTAATTTACTAATCAGTATTAAAAACAATTTTTCAATCACTGGTTTTGGCATTCAATGAGATGTTTATTTCAAAAAATGATATCAAAAATTAATTAATAATTATTAAAATAAAAACATACAATTAATATCATAATTAAAAAATTACAATTAAATTAATGGCAATAAAATCATAACAAACAGTATATCGAAAATAATAACTTCACTTTCAATTAAAAACTTGATTTTTGCATTTAAATCACATTAAATATAAAACATGGTAACCAACAAAACCGGGCTTACGCTGTCGGGGGTGGGGTATACCCAGTGCTGCCCACCCAGGGGTAGGACGAGGGACAGGGTTGGCATGTTTTCAAAAACCTGGACCCACTTTTGGAGCCCACATTACACACCGTAGGGCTCTTGCAAGGGGGCGGGCGGTCATCGAAATCGCACTGCCAGGGCTGAAAGCCCAGTATATCACTGGTGGGCGTCGGGTGTCTCATCCATTGGATCATCTGGTATTTGGTGACAAAGTACACGTCCTTTTTGGTGAGTATGTCATCGATGAAACGCATGAAACCCTTGCGATGGTGGGGTGTGTTAAACCAGGCCGAGTGGTAGTACAGGCCAAATGGTGCCCGATTGCTCTGGTAGTGGCGGTTGAAGTTTTTCATCAGCATTTTGTGAACCCCCTCCTCCTCGGTGGGGTTACTGCACGCGTCGCCCATTGAACACCGGCCACCCTTCAGATCGTGCCACATCACCATGCCCACTTCCCATACGCCTGGCAATTTAAATACATGGTGAGTTAAAGCTTTTATATTTAATTTCATAATTAAATAAATTAATCAAGATTATAAGCTGTATAATATAAAACTTGATTAATAAATTAATTAAAAACTAATTTTTAACTCTTAACCACTCAATAAATAAGTTATTTATATTTGTTATAAACTACTAGATAACTAAAACAATTTAAACTCGGCGAGATTAAATAACTTTTATTAATGAACTCACCTGGGAACGATTTTGTGGGACAGGGGGCAATCATGCACTCGTGATTCACCGCGTAGTCCAGTGTGTAGGGGTAATAGGGGGGCGAGTTTTCAAACACGGGCATTGTCGAGTCATAGGTGAAGTTCAGATCGTACAGCATTTCAAACTGCTTATTGCCACCCCCTTGCAAAAAGGGGGCGCGCATACCCCGCACATCGGCCAACGCCACGCCCCCATACATGTGCAGTATCTCCCTTTGGCCGCTCACCTCTTTGCCCCACTTTTGCACTGAAAACTTTTCGCCAAAACTATGCCTAAAAAATATAGCAAACAAAATATGTTAACAATTGGTAACTATGGTAACAATGGTTAAATATTGGTAACAAAATATATACTAAATTATTTCAATCATTATTTTTTCAATGGCACATCTAGCTCGGTTAAAACTATATGACAATATAATGTACATGTTTATGCGGACACAGAAATTGAAACTACCGCAATTGTTTAATCAGGTAAATTGAGATAAAATGATCTATGACAATAAAATTTGCGATAAACCTATTTCCGGTGCCTGATACACAGTACTAATTTATTTATAGAGCATAATTGTACCAAGGGTAGATTCTCAAATAACACAAATAGCTCAATCTTCAATGAAAAAATAATAATAATACTTACGTGATTGAATGGGAGGCCATCTCGTGGCCCTGCGAGTACAGGGTCTGCACCTGACCGTAATCGGTCCACTCGTGGGACACGTAAAACGTGCCCAAAATGGGACACCCGTTGGGGTTGTGACGGCCGCCGAACACCTCCTCGTAGATCTCCCAATTGAGATCATTGACCGAGTCGTCAAACGTGATCATCACTTGCTGGGGTATGTCGGCCGCGCGCATACCCCTCGGCGCCTGTTGGCCGCCGCAAAAACAGTCGGGTAGTTTGCATTTGCTCTGGGTACATTTGCTGGCTTGGGATAACAGGTCGGGTGTTGAGTATACGGGCGCCGGCCGTGAGGGTAGGGCTGCCGACCCTTTCTTGGGCCGATTGGCGGCCGGTTTGCGTTTTGGTGGGGGTGTCGGTGGCGGCGGTGGGGCCACAGTAGTGGTGGGCAAGTCGTCGATTGTGGTCACGTATGAGACGGTGTGATTGCTGTCGACGATATCGTAATAGTCGTAATTGTGCAGCGATTGGGGCCCAGTGTTGCCGATCACCAGCGGTTCCCGGTGTCGGACAGCAGGTGGGGGCGGCGGTGCCGGTCGTTGTGGTGGTGGCTGTGGTGTTAATGTCTGGCGGACAGGGCTTCGTGTGGTGGCAGTGATTTGTTGGGCAAAGTTGTCTGCAAAATAAATGCACACATTTATACATGTCTTACTTTATACATTTCTTGACATAATCTGATCCCATTGTCGTTGACATACCTTTAGGTCCGAGGCGTTTGCCATTGCGGGACAGTTTAATCCGCGACGACGACGACGACCCGTCGGAATGGCCACCACTGGCAACGGCCGGTCTATCCCTCGGCTGCTGTCCACCAGCGCCGACAACCTGACCGTTATTATCAATAAGTTTGACCACAGCCTCGATGAATGTGGGCGCTGTCGTGGTGTCCACCGGTCGGACACTCGGCGGTTGTCTTGTGGTCGACGTCTTGAGCGATGTCTCGTTTCGATGGCGACTGACAGCCGCCGGTCTCTTGTTCTTCAGCCGTTTGCCCGACTGTTTGGGCTTAACATTGATCCTAACGGCCGGTTTGTTAGCGCCGGTGTCCGCCGGTCGGGACGACGACTGGTGGACAGACACCCGCTTCTCGAGTCTGTCGTAACTGTTTTCGTTGTCGTCGTTATTATCGCGATTAATGACCAGATATTCGGTCAGTTTTGGCCGCGGCTTAGCTCTGGTAGTCATCTGTTGCCGATGATTAGGCCTAAACACCGCCAATAACTCCATGTTTGGCTTCGCGGGGGTTGAGGGCAGGGGTCCGGTAGGGGCCAGGATCTGGACCTTTTTGATCTGGGTCAGTGAGGGTCCGTAAAAGGGTAGGAATGGGTGCGACTGTTCGGGCACTAGTATGCGGGGCAGTTGCCGATGGTTTTGGATGTTGGACTTCTGGATACTGGGGCTGAATATCTCGTCGTTTAGGGCCTGTCGTGGGTTATCGTTGTCATTGTAGTTGTCGTCGTCGCCGGTGATCAGCACCGGTATGTCGGCCAACAGTTCGTCGACATCACCGCCGGGTGGCCTCTGAACCATACGGTGCACCACTCGGACACGTTTGCGGCGATTGCCGGCGCCTGTAGTCGAGTCCACTAAACAAAACAAAAATAACAGCGTTTAAACAATAAGCACAGTATGTATACAACAACAAAGTTACAACAACAACATACCTGTGCCCACGTTTTTATACATGGGTATAGCGATCATCTTCCCGGCGCCGTTACGGGTGGCCACAAAACCGCGAAACTCTAGCTTCTTGTCCCGATCGCTGGCCGCCACAGCTATGGCACCCCCAGTCGTAGGGTTGGGTGGGCCGGGTTTGGGCGCCCGACTGGTCTGTGAACGGAAGTGTTGCTGTTGTTGTCGTTTCTGGTTTTGGAAATGGGCCGAAACTCCCGACGTGAGCGACAGATCGCTGTCGCGGCCGTCAAACAGATCGCCACTCCTATATCGGCGGACCTTTTCCTCTTTGTCCTCCTGAGCGGCGCCGACACCACTGCCGGTGATGTCCTCCCTATCCATCACCAGAACCGGTATGTATTGATTCTTCGACGGTTTGCGCTCCTTATCGTTGTTGACATTTGTCGGCGCCTTTCGGTCAATATCGTCGAGACTGCCGGCGTTGACAGCCCTGTCGTCGTAATCGGTGGCCGACTCCGGGCGCAGTCGCTTCCGGATTCGGGTCACCCGTACGATAGGCCGGCGGTCGGCGGCTATCCGTTCAATAAACCCGAAGTCCTTGTCGTTATAGTTGAACGGCTGGTCGGGTGAGTATCGGCCGGCGATGTGGTTGCGATCGGTGGGCAGGGCGTACGTACCGCCCGGGCCGTCGTGAATGTGAATGTGTCCCATATCGTCCATCACGTGACCGATGGCCTCGTCGTAGGCCGGCTGCTGGGGGTCGGTCTCGATGTTCACTTTGTTTCCGTGCAGGTCTGGCACCCGATCGTTGGCCGCCCGCAGGCTATCGGCGCCGCCGGTGGGTGTTTGGGCTCGTCTCACACCGTCGACACTGCGACCCAAGTGGTTGGCGCCGGTTAGTGACCGACCCCTTGACCGCCTTATATCCAACGCCCGGACGTAAAAGTCGGTGCCGTTGTTGTCGGTGTCGTACCGGACGGCCCGCTCACCACCGAAACCCGACCCGTAATTGTTTGCGTATATTATATCCACTTTTGTCTCATTATTATTATTATTATTATTATTATAAGCGTTATTAGTGTCCGAAACGGTGTATTTGTCTGAATCCCGTTTGTCGTCGCCGTCGGCATCCCTTTCACTCCCGTTCCCGTCGTCTGTCACTTCTTCGTCGGTCTCCTCTTCCTCCACGTCCTCGTCGTTGTCGACCGTCTCCTCCCTGTCCTCCACCTCCTCCTCAGACCTGTTGTTGTCGTCATTATTATTATTATTGTCGCTATTATTTGATCCCTTATTACCCCGATTCTCATCGCTATTATTATTATCGTTATTATTATTACTATTGGCGTTCAAAGTGTTTGAAGACTTATCTAGATTTTTGTTATTATTATTACGATTGCTATTATCATCGCTATTATAGGGATGCCTATCGACGCCATCCTCTTCGTCGCGGTCTTCGTCTTCGTCGCCGAGATTTTGGTCCAAATTTTCATTGAAAGCTGTTTTCAAACAAGTTTTTTGTGTGTTTTTTTAGTCGACCCAATGTTTTGCAGACATAATGATAAAAATGCAAAAATAAAATCAAAAAGGGTAAATAAAAAAACGGCCAAAATTGAGATCATGTATGTATTAATAAATGCAATATAAGTATACAATGAATGACAACGAAAAAGTCTTGAGTGAAAAAACTAAACAATTGGTTAAAGAAATGATGAATGAAAATGAAAAATGGGATAACATTTTTGTCTGTTATTTCTTGAGCGCATAAAAGTGTGTATTTTGTGTGATTTTTCTGGTATTTTAAGTGAAGTTAAGTTAAGTTTTACTTTTTTGTGCCAGTTTTTTTTATTGCCATTAGAAACTATTTATCTGGAATTTCATTAAGTTCATTAACATTTTCAGTCTCTCTCTCTCTCTCTCTCTCTCTCTCTCTCTC